GTTGAAGGAGTAAGTCACATATTTGGGATATACTGTGCAGATTCCATAGTGTACTATTAAGGGCCCTGAGATCACTTTTGAAAACTTTGAATTCCAAATATTATTGCTTTATTGATGTTTTGGAGCCTCTGGAGATTCAGCAATTGACTCACCCCTGATATTACTTTAGGGCCACTCTTATTAAGATTGCCTTTCTATTTTGGAGTTTGAAGAGAGAGATGCATTTTAGGTGTTGAACAGTGTTGAGCTACTTAGCCTAATCAATTTGAAGTTCTCATTTAAAACTTTTTTTTTTTTTTTNCTGTATAGAGTTGCCCATGTGAGAAGCCACTGAATGCACATCAGTGCTTGGAATTTAGGCTATGTGTCCTTGAGCCTTACTGCTGGACACATGAAGCACGTTCACTGGGAATTGCAGACATTTGAAAGAGAATGGGGAGAGTTGAAGGAGTAAGTCACATATTTGGGATATACTGTGCAGATTCCATAGTGTACTATTAAGGGCCCTGAGATCACTTTTGAAAACTTTGAATTCCAAATATTATTGCTTTATTGATGTTTTGGAGCCTCTGGAGATTCAGCAATTGACTCACCCCTGATATTACTTTAGGGCCACTCTTATTAAGATTGCCTTTCTATTTTGGAGTTTGAAGAGAGAGATGCATTTTAGGTGTTGAACAGTGTTGAGCTACTTAGCCTAATCAATTTGAAGTTCTCATTTAAAACTTTTTTTTTTTTTTTAACTGGGCAGAAAATCTTAACTTGTGAGGAGCCTCTCTCCTGATTGACAGTCAAATGATATTGTCACACCTTGGTTTCTGACCTGGGACCAAGCCTGAAGCATGCACAACCCAACCAATTCCTCACATAATCCCAGAGTCTTGTGCTGGCCCTTGAAGAAGCTCTTCATCTCCTGATTGATCTGTGAACAGTTCTTAAACTTCTAATTTTGTTCTGTTAATTTGGAACTATAGTAGCTCCCCCTTACTCATGGAGGATATGATCTAAGACCCCTAGTGGCTGCCTGAAACCCAGGATCATATGGAACCCTGTATATATTGTTTTTTCCTATATGTACATGCTTAAGATAAAGTTTAATACATAAATTAGGTACAGTAAGAAATTGAAAATAATAATAAAATAGTACAATTATGACAATATATTGTAATAAAAGCTATGTGAATGTGGTCTCTCTCAAAATATCTTATTGTACTGTACTCACCCTTCTTCTTGTGATGATGTGAGATGATAAAATGCCTAGATGACAAGATGAAGTGAGATGAATGACGCAGGCATTGCGATGTAAGGTTAGGCCACTGTTAACCTTAAACACAAGCACTGCGATACCGCCAAGTGGATCTGATAAACCAGATGGCTACTAAGTGACTAATAGGCGGGTGAGAGTAGACAGCATGGATCCGCTGGACAAAGGGATGATTCATGTTTCTGACAGGACCAAGCGGGAGGACATTTTTTTTTTTTTTTAACTGGGCAGAAAATCTTAACTTGTGAGGAGCCTCTCTCCTGATTGACAGTCAAATGATATTGTCACACCTTGGTTTCTGACCTGGGACCAAGCCTGAAGCATGCACAACCCAACCAATTCCTCACATAATCCCAGAGTCTTGTGCTGGCCCTTGAAGAAGCTCTTCATCTCCTGATTGATCTGTGAACAGTTCTTAAACTTCTAATTTTGTTCTGTTAATTTGGAACTATAGTAGCTCCCCCTTACTCATGGAGGATATGATCTAAGACCCCTAGTGGCTGCCTGAAACCCAGGATCATATGGAACCCTGTATATATTGTTTTTTCCTATATGTACATGCTTAAGATAAAGTTTAATACATAAATTAGGTACAGTAAGAAATTGAAAATAATAATAAAATAGTACAATTATGACAATATATTGTAATAAAAGCTATGTGAATGTGGTCTCTCTCAAAATATCTTATTGTACTGTACTCACCCTTCTTCTTGTGATGATGTGAGATGATAAAATGCATAGATGACAAGATGAAGTGAGATGAATGACGCAGGCATTGCGATGCAAAATATCTTATTGTACTGTACTCACCCTTCTTCTTGTGATGATGTGAGATGATAAAATGCCTAGATGACAAGATGAAGTGAGATGAATGACGCAGGCATTGCGATGCAAGGTTAGGCCACTGTTAACCTTAAACACAAGCACTGCGATACCGCCAAGTGGATCTGATAAACCAGATGGCTACTAAGTGACTAATAGGCGGGTGAGAGTAGACAGCATGGATCCGCTGGACAAAGGGATGATTCATGTTTCTGACAGGACCAAGCGGGAGGACAAGAGATTTCATCACTCTACTCCAAATAGTACACAATTTAAAACTCATGAATTGTTTAATCCTGGAACTTTCCATTTAATACTTTTGACTGAGATTGACCATGTGTAAGTGAAACCTTGGAAAACAAAACCTCGGATGAGGGGGACTACTGTAAACTATGTTTGCTATCAGCAAGCCATTTGTCTCCTATGATACCTTACGGATATCTAGAGGGGAGGAAATGAAGATCTTTTAACAATATTAATGAATGTTTGTTGCTTTCCCCTAACTCCTAATAACATTATAACATTTTTATAAAATGCAATTTTGTTGTTTAAAAATGCAAATTTTTAATTGATATCTCATAAGTGTTATATGGGAAAACAAATAAACAATCAACTATTTAAGAAAGACTTTTCCCAGTGCTCTCCAAAGAGAATATCTAGTACCACTCCTGTTCTATATTTAAGACCACCCAAACCATGCTCTCTGAATTTAGTGATGATCCATCTAGATGATTTTTAGTAGTGGAGAAACAAAGAAAACGCTGTTCTTGTCAGCCAGTCCCCTTAAAAAAGTCATGTCCAAAAAGAGCCTGTAATGATTTGTTTTCCTGAAAAGTCAAGGAGTGTCCAGAATAACCACTCATCAGTTAACCTTTAGTTAATGGGTGTGACCACCTTAAACTGATATAATTCTAGCCTAAAGAAAATAAACTATATTTTTGGAAGTCTGTGCAACTATAGTGAGGATACAGTTATTACTATAATTTGGATTTTCTGAAGTACTAAAACCATGGGGCTCCTGCCTGCCAAAAATGACTTCAAAAACTGGCTGTCTTGTTAGGCATCAGCGACATTTAGGACATTCAAAGGTCTACTGGTATGTAGGAAATTATGTCCAGTACTTATGTCATAATTTGCTAGCATTCCTTTCCAAAGAAAAGCCTTTTTGCAGTAGCTCTGGGCTACATGAGTATCTGGGAGTTGGGTGGCACGAAAGGGGAAAGGAGGTCCCATTCAGAATCCTAGATCTACAGGCATTCTTATAAGCCACTGAAGTCATCAGCCAAGGGGAATCATCACCCTCAATCTTGGTGGTTGCTAGGGAATTCCTGCAAATAGACCTCCGAATGAATTCCTCACTCCCCTATGCTAACCATGACACTTCAATCGCCCTTCCACCACAGCATTTACGCACACAGTCATTATTTCATTGCATTTCTTCCTCCACACTGGACTCTGAGCCTCTAGAGGGCAGCTCTTTGATGACCACCACACTCAGGGGTATTCTTTGACATGGTTTCCAGGGCCAAGCTATACCTCCATTGCTTTTAGGCGTTACCCGTTTTCCAGTTTCTGCTGAAAATCCCAACAGTGCCTGTTTCTGTGGACGTGTGGCTAGTGATAAAACTCACAGAATCCATATCCTCTACAAAATCCAGATTTATTAATTGCCCTTGGCTCTGCAACAAGCTAATGTTTTAAAAGGTAATACAAGCAAAGTAATAGAGTAGATATTATTATAATTATTTTGAAATTCTTTCATGAGTAGGGTGGATTTAATAATCTTAAAGTCCTTCTAAGTGCTAAAATTTCTGATTCTGCAAGAATTGTCCTTCATTTTCCAAGAAAACTATCCTACAAATGTTTAGAATGTACTTTTGGCTTATGAAAACCAAAAACAGCAAGGAAAGTGTACTACCTATTAAGACCAAAGGATTTTATTTAGCGAGTCTTGGTTCATTTAAAGCAACATAGTGGGAAAATGCCAATTCTAGTGAAGTTTATTATGAGAACATTTTCAGGATTCATACCATGGACTAGATATAGATAAAACCTTCATGAACTTCTTTCCAACCCTCCAGGGAACTGGGTGTTACAGTTTTTGGGTGGACTATTATAATAAAGAGCAGGTCAGGTTATGAAAGGTGCCTTACGAGGCTTTAAAATGAGCTTTACTCCTAATGTAAACCACAGGTCACCGATAGATGATTGCAAAGAAATACATAAACTTTATATACAGGAAATTCTCAAGTGTTCAGAATATTTATTTTCTGTTGATGATTTTCTCTGGAGTTGCAAATGCTGAGATTAAAATCAGCTGGGAAAACCATGCTTCAAATATTCTCTTCAATTTGTTCATGTGGCAATTTAGTCAGACAACCTGCTTGGAAGTAATCTATTTGCAGAACCTAGGTGGGGAAAAACCTGCCACGTTATATAATTCACTGAGCACGTTTGGCTCCCACTCTGACAATCCATCTTAAATAGTGGCTAGTGCCCTGCATCTAGCAATACATATGATCAAACAATTTAGCATAAAAAGAGAAAGGCCCCACAACTTGGCAGCCCCGTGGACATTTATCTTTGAGAAAACCAAATGGATCCAACTTTCGCCAGAGTTTAATAGCAAAGCTGTCACATTTTGCACAAATAAGTATCGAGTCTGTCAGCCAATGGAAAGAGGGAGCGGGGAGGAGGGGAGACGAGGAGATGGAGTTGCTGACTGGACTGTTTTCAAAGTGCCTCCAGTTTTCAGGGGAGGGGCTGGGATGCTCAGCGTGGAGGAGAGACGAAGTAGTTAAAAATTGTTACTAGCGAGGGGCCGGAACCTCGGGGTGTGCGTATATAAGACGGCGCCTCCAGCGCAGAGCGGCGGCTGCTGCTGCTGCTGCAAAAGTCACAACCAGGGAGCACGGGCTCAGCTCTTCACTAGCCGGGAGCCAGGGAGAAAAACAGAGAGAAACCGGGGGTCCAAGCCGGGGCTCCTACTTCACCTCTAGGACAGACACGGGACCCCCTAACCTCCGTCCCCTGTATCCAAACGCGCACCCGCGGCGTTGTGCGCTCTAGCCCAGCACACCCGCGCTCGGCAGGTCCTAGCCGAAGGCGATGCGTGCAGCGAACCGGGCAGCTGGGCACGGGAGGCTGGAGTAGAGCACGGCGGGGAGGCGAGGAGGCTGCGGGGCAGGGGCGGAGGGATACGCCGCCAGCCGAGGCCGTCTTCGTGCCACGCGACACCTGCTGCTGCCGCTGCGCCGCGATGAGGCGCGTGGTCTCGCTGCTGCTGGGCGCCGCGCTCCTCTGCGGCCACGGAGCCTTCTGCCGCCGAGTGGTCAGCGGTGAGTGGGGCACCCCGGCGGGCGGACGAGCCGGGAGAGGGGACCGTGGGGCGCCGCGGGGCAGCCTGTCCTCGGGTGTAGAGGCTCTCCGGGGTTTGGAAACCTCTCTGGGGAAAGGGACCGGGAAAAGGCAGGGAAGAAATGGATTGAGTTATTCTTAGTTCCCTACCCCCAAACACACCCAGAAAAAAGTTAAAAAAATTTTTTGAAGTGCGTGGTTCAGTAGCTGCGGAGCGAGCTTCGGGTTCATTGTGAGTCGTACAGCTTTTTGCAGGCGTGATTTCCACTTTGTAAGAGACTTGGCCACAGGGCAGGGCTGGGCACCTGCAGAAGTGGTCGGTAGGGCGGAGGCTGGCAGAACCCAGAGACTGAAGAGACATGCAGAAATGCCACCCTCTGTTGGCCTGGCTCCACTTCAGTCCCTGCACCACATTCATTCGGATGATTTCCTGAGACCAGAGCAGTTCGCTGTGGGTCGCTCACGGATTCCTGGGCACGCAGCCTTTGTTCTCAGCAGGACTGACAAAGAAGGGGGATTGGTCATTGTGCTTAGACCCCTTTCCTTTGCACAGCTCATTCCAAGTTGGGGACTACTCAGAAAATGAAGTCAGCTGGAGTTAGGCTGAGGGGTACTTGGTAATGACTGCAGGTTCATGCACACAGTAGGTGCGCATTTATGCCTGTGGAGTCAGTGCAAAGGAAATGGATCAAATTTGGCAAGTTTCCCAGCGTTTTCTCTGAGTTTCCTTTTTTAACGTTCACTGTCCTACTGTTGAGCGATTTATGTTGCATCCACCCTCTCTTGCTTTTTTGGGAAGGTTTCTTAAAAAGGATGCAGATTCTCAATGGGGATGAGTGTGAAGAGGGCCTTACATGAAAGTTGAACATAGAGCTACCTTTATAGAAATTTCTTGCTATTCTCATTAAAGTGTTACAATAAATATTTGTTGGATATATGTGGATATATGTTTTAAGGATGAATTTTTTTTAATGTAAAAAGCACCAATAGTCCTTTTCAGATTTTGTGCCTGTGTACAACAGGTGTCACTACAGGTAGAGATGATAACCACCTAACCAGTTGTGAAGCCAGGCCTTTAGAAACTGGCATATTAAGCTTAATTGTTACTGATCTTCCCCTCAGCAATTTGTGATGTTCTACACCTCCAGAATGTAATTCTTAAATGTTTAGTTGCCAGTCACTCTCCTCTAACTTTATTCAGGATGTTACAGAAGCTGTGACATTAGATCTTTTTCCTCCCTAATTTAGTTGTGAAGAAAAAATTCACTGTATAGAACCATCTGATTGTGCATTACATATCTGACTGCCTTTGTGTTTATCAGAATTATTCAAGCAAATGAATGAACAGCAGAGATCATGTTTGAACTGTAGGGTGTTTTTTTAAAACAAATAAAAACACTTCATTGACTTAAGTAATATTCTTTTGGTATGTTCTTGTTTGTATGCCTTAAAATTTTGCAAGGGAGTAAAAGGATATCTAAAGTAAAAACTGAACTTAAAAAAATTGTTAATAAAAAGTTTCTTTTGTATTCTGTTTGTACATAAATAGTTCCAAACCTTTTGCTGTGTTTTCCTATTAAGTATTTGTAGGCATCTTTGAGGTGACATCTGGAAAATTTCTAATTAACTGAACATGATCTATTTGATTTAGCATAAATGATGATGTTTGCTTGATATTAAAACAATTACTTAGTTATGTTTTTCTTATGAGTAATTTAATTGTCTTTAGTCATAAAATTCACATTCAAATTTAACCATCTATAAATTGATTTGTGACTTTTATCCTTTGAAGGCTAATTTCTTTGAAAGATGTATTTCAGCCATGACAGGCTGATCACAGAGCAGCCTAAAGCCTGGCATTTTTGAAGCAATAGTTCCTAGCAAGTGTAATGTCTGCCTGCTTGATGTTCAGTTTTGAGTGGTGCATCACAACTTTTTCGTGCCACGAGGGAACATTCATCAAATCTCTACTTAAGTGTCTGAGGACCGAAACAGACTCTTTGGGGCCATTGTTAGGAACATACAACGTATGGAATACATGTTATTTGTACCACAATTTAAAATTTCTATGTAGTATACCCAAATAATCACTTACCCCAGAAAAAAAAGGCAGGCACCCACAAAATAATTCTCCATAGAAATTCTCCTCATTTTAATACTTTAAAAATCTTCAATAAGATACTTTCTAGTAGTTTAAATACATCACATTTTTTAAAGTTTAGAGCGTTATTTAAAAATAAGGTGAAAATATTTTAGCAAGAAATAACATGTCAAGCAACTTCATCCTAATTTTACTTATAAGATTTAATAACATCTAGTAATAATGAAGTATTTTTATAGGTTAGTAGCGATGCTTATCTTGATGTGTGAATATGCAAAAATATATAATCTTGATGATAGTAATCAAAGAGTATTTACTGAATTTATGAGTGTAAGTTGGGAACTACTTTCAGGAGCTTAGACATCTACTGATTTCTTACTACACACAGATGTGTAGGGAATATCTGTGGAGGCTGCAGTCATTTAGTTTTGTGAAGCTAATGACATCTTCTTTAGGACAAAAGTAAGAGGATTTTACTTACTGGGGATGTGGATAAGTATGAAAAAGAAGAGTTCAAAATTCAGGCCTCTGAGTTGGGAGGATATATTTGAAGAGCAAATGATATTTTAACATTTGAAGCATTTTGAAGTAATACGAGATTTTTTTTTTGTTGTTGTTGTTCTTTCTCTTTTTCTTTTTCAGTGTGCATAGCAGTGCACTAAACCTGTTTATGCTGCAAAATGGCATTAGGTGTATTTCATGGCACTTCCAAATGTCTACAGAACACTTTAATATATATCAGTGTAACCTTATTAAAATTTTATTTAGGATACTGGGTGGTTTAGAGACCTCTCTTTTATCATGCAGATACCATGGAGTATTGAAATTCATGGATGGTAACCAGCAAATGGCACTTCCAAATGTCTACAGAACACTTTAATATATATCAGTGTAACCTTATTAAAATTTCATTTAGGATACTGGGTGGTTTAGAGACCTCTCTTTTATCATGCAGATACCATGGAGTATTGAAATTCATGGATGGTAACCAGCAGCCTATACATACACGTAATATAAAAGCCAGGGAGATGAAAAAAAACTGCTGAGCATATCCCAGCCTATGGAACTATTCCATGACATCATCAAAAGCATAAAGTGATGACAGTGCAGTTTTCAAAGATGCAATTACTTTAAGTATCTGTTAGGCAAGAAAGGAACAAATTAATCTTATTACTAGTCATTTAATAAACTACACCCATTTATCATAGCCGTAATTCCTTAATTGCTATTTGTCATCATTTTATGGGTTTGTTTTTATAACTTTTTCTGGAAGGTGGCAATAACTATTACATTAATGTTAGAAAAGAGGCAGTATTATATAAAGGGTTCCAAAGTGGAAATCCAGCTGATGCTCTTACTAATAGTCTTAACATTGGCAACTGCTTTCTGTGCCAGGCATTCAACATACAGGTGGGTGGATGTGCACAATGGTGAGGTGAGATTGTTTCTTTCACTTTTTAAACATATTACTAATGATGTAACACAGCCTGACAACTTGACCAAGGTTATACTCTTTGTAATTGGGAAAACATTCCATTTGGTCCTCATTTGCTTTATTTAGAAAATAAAAGGGCTAGATAAAAAAAAAATTATGAAGGACATGTATGGTTTGAAAACATGAGATAAAAAGTGTTCCGATATTGGGCCGGCCTGTTGGCGCACTGGATAAGTGCGCCGCTTGGGAAGCGCGGCGGCGCTCCCGCCCGACGGTTCGGATCCCACATACAGACCGGTTCCAATCCCCTTGCCGGTCCCCGGTCCTGTACGGGGGCAACACTGAGGGTTGCGATCCGTTGCCGGACACGGAAAAAGACAAAAGACAAAACAAAAAAAAAGTGTTCTGATATTAACTCTGATCTAAATATTTAGCAACAAAAAATTCGAAACGTGCTTAGAAACAAGCTCTCAATGTGTAACCCCTTGCATATATTAGCCACCCAGTAATCAATAACTGATCAATGCTAATGATTCTAACATAGATAACATGCATAGTGTATATATTTATCAGTCCCTTTGTTCATGAAATATTTCACCATTATATCATGTTGGAGACATACATGGAGACAGCATAGAAATTGGGTAAAAGTATGGACCATAGAACCAGATGGCCTGGTGCCAAACCTGGCTTTAGCATTTGTGGGCTGTGTGAACTTGGGAAAATTATTTAACTTTTCTTTGCTCCGTTTGCTTCATTTTGAAAATATGGTGAGAACACCTACATTATAGGGTTGTGGAAAGATTAAAAGAGTTTGAACACAATTGTGCAGGTGTGCGCCATGTAGAGGTATATGCCAAGACGATGAGAGAAGAAGCTCAGCTTGGTATTATTATCTTTATTTCTACAAAACTCATAATTACTCTCACATTTTAGGTAAGAAAACTGAGGCTAAGAAAGTTTAAGTAATCTCAAGTACCAAGAGAAAGTGTAGAATACACAAGATCAGGTACCCAAGTTCAAGTGTAGAGGTGGGATTCAAAGCTAGGTTTTTTTTTGGGGGGGGTGCTTGAACTCTTATGTCACACTGTCACTTGGTTTACAATTTATTATTCTGATCTCTATTTTAAATATTAGGATTTTTTAAAAAATGAGTTTCATCTCTTTCTCGAAGCTTGTGGTATTTCCCAGCTGGAGAAGTAGGGCCCGCTGCTGCCACCACCATCCATAAAATACCCAAGTCTACAGATCTGTTTTTGTTTATCAATGTGAGAGAATGGATTCCAGCTATAGTGCACTATGCAATTAAGTGAATTATAAAATCTCTGTTGCAAATATAAAAGTTTATTGTAATACAACTTTTTTAATTTGTAAGAAAAATTCTTAAGAAGTTGGTGTAGTATTGAACACTGAATGCAGAACACGTAGAATCAATAGCATTCCCT